CTAGTTTTACTTTCTAGGCGAAAACTGAAAGATTGGGCAACTAATTCCCTGTTAGTAAGAGATTGGGTTTGCTTCTTTTTTTCTTTATGACAATAACATAGACTCTTATTTCTCATTAACCTATCACATTTCTCACATCTTGGGAGAACATTGTTATCATATTCCAATTTACAATCTTTACAGATAAAGGATATATCAAAGTATTGTTCTGACTTGGTATGTGCTACCATCTGATAGGCAGCAGGAGCAGTGCTAAAATCAAGGTTAGTTTGGTCACTATAATCTATAAAGCAATAACTACATTCTTGTTCATCCCCATTTACTAATTCCAAAACTCTGTACTCTAGTTTCATTCTGTTTACTTTGGTTGTAAGATATGAGCCTCAAACTTTTCCAAAACATGAGTTTGAAACTTCTCCTTGCTCTTTTCTTTAACTTTGTTTACTAACTTTTTGAATTTTAATAGTCTGCTTTGCTTTTGCTTTTTAGGTAAGGCTGGTAATTCTCTATCTTTGTATTTTTTAATAATTTGCTCTTTGTTTTTTAATCAATCAATATTGTTTTCTAAAACTTCTATTTGTTTCAAAAATCATTTTTCTCTCAAAACATGGGCTGATTTTACTTCTTTTAGTTGTTTTTCCCTCCATTCTGCTGACTTGTCTAATGCTTTTAAATTCATTTCAACCTCAATATCTACTCTCTCTTCCAATTCTTCTATTCTGTCATCACTTTTTTCCAACTCTACCTTCAATGCTTGAACTTTTTCTTCCAATTCATTTACCTTAGCAGCTTTCTTGTTGGCATTCACAGTCAATTCATTCCAGCTACTAATTAATTCATCAATAGAAAGATTTCTGAGATCATAATAATTATAACAACTTACTTTTATTGAATTTCATCCTTCATAGCCTTTTTCTAAGATTCCTTTTAGAGTTAAATTATCTTCTATTTTGCCTTCTCTTACTCATTTTCAAAATAATTCTTTGCTTTCTTCAGAGTTTAATTTGATAAGGTTAATAAAGATATCCCTTTTTGCCTTATTTCTTACCTGTCAATGAATACTTGATTGTTTCCAATAAGGAAAATATTGATAAGCAGTGAGAATTACATTTCCACGAGCTGCTTCAGTAGAATACACCTTACAGAACCATTCTCATTCTTCTTGATTGCAATGAGCTGCTCTCATAATTTCATTAACTACATCTACATCAGGATTATCAGTATAATGTCTCTTACTTAACATAGTAGCTATTCATTCTCTAATTTCATCATTGTTCAACAGTTTAAATTGTGATTCTTGTTCTTTAACTGCTAATTGCTTCTTTAAATTTTCATTTTCTTCTAATAGTTGTTTATTTCTCTCTTGGAATTCATTTATTGTGTTTACCATGATTTTCTTTTTTTATTTATTTGCTCTTTTAATATATTAATGTACTTTTATGAGGGTATATTAAGTATATAAATTATTTTAGTACTTTTTTACTTTAAAAGTGGAAAAAGATTAATGGGTGGCAAAGTCATGGAAGTGATTTTATTCCAAATATTTTATTTGTTGCCAGCATAGGATGGTCTTGGACAAGTAGTATCTTTGTATTCATCTTTCACAAATGGGTGAATATTCTGGTAAAGATATTCTTGTCTTTTGTAATCCAAAGGTGGTGGTGTTAATACTAAAATAGATAAAGCTTTAATTTCTTCCAAAATATCTGCTTTCTTGGTTTTCAATAAATTGAATTCAGCAAAAGGACCATTAGCAATTTCCTGAGCTTTGACCACACCAAAATTAATTGCTTCAAAAAGAAAATGTTGATATTTTTGTAAACCATTTAGTTTCTTAAAATAAATTCCCAAAATAGCTTTAATATCTAAGTATTGAAAACCTTTTCCACCTTCATAACATTGAGCTTTATTCAATCCTGCTGGACTAGACTTTTTTATCACTTCAACCACATGATCCAGACAATCTACTCTTGTTCTTCTGTAGAGTTTTTTAATCATGCCAAAATTACCATCACATTTGAATTTGGTATGTCCTGGAACCATGAAATTTAATTCAAT